GGGTGTCACAGCAGGACACGGGTGTCACAGCAGCGTGTGGGACATGTCCCAGGATCCCACCCCCGCAGGGGGGTCCCCAGAGTGTCCCCCCCGTCCTTTTCCATGGAGCCTGTCCCCCCATTCCCTTTTTAGGGATTTGGGGCTGGGGGTGTCACCGTGTCCCCTTCGCCCCGCGCTGGTGGCGGGGACATCCCGGGGACATTCCCGGGCCGGTGTCTGGCCCGGCCCCGCGCGGCGCCGCTCCCAAATCCGCTCCCAAATCCGCTCCCGTCCTTCCCTTATTTGGGCACCGCCGCTGGAAAACCCCAAATCCCCAGGGAGGAAAAAAATGCCGCAAAATGGGATCGAGGACCCGGGGACGCGGCCGGCGCGGTGCGGGGAGGCCTGTCACCCTGTGCTCACCGGTGTCACCGGTGTCACCCTGTGCTCGTGTCACCGGTGTCACCGGTGTCACCCTGTGCTCGTGTCACTGGTGTCACCAATGCCACCCTGTGCTCGGGTCACCGGTGTCACCGGTGTCACTGGTGTCACCCTGTGCTCAGGTCACTGCTGTCACCGGTGTCACTGGTTTTACTGGTGTCACCGGTGTCACCGGTGTCACTATTGTCACCGGTGTCACTGGTTTTACTGGTGTCACCGGTGTCACTGGTGTCACTGGTGTCACCCCTGTGCTCGGGTCACCAGTGTTACTGGTGTCACTGCTGTCACTGCTGTCACTGGTTTTACTGGTGTCACTGCTGTCACTGCTGTCACAGCTGTCACAGCTGTCATTGCTGTCGCCGCTGTCACTGCTGTCACAGGTGTCACTGGTGTTGCTGGTGTCACCGGTGTTACTTTTTACTGGTGTCACTCTTACTGGTTTTACTGGTTTTGCTGGTTTTGCTGGCACTTCTGGTGTCACTGGTTTTACTGGAGTCACTGCTGTCACTGCTGTCGCTGCTGTCACAGCTGTCATTGCTGTCACTGCTGTCACAAGTGTCACTACTGTCACTGGTTTTACTGGTCTTGCTGGTATCACCGGTGTCACTGGTGTCATTGGTGTTGCTGATATCACCAGTGTTACTTTTTACTGGTGCCACTCTTACTGGTTTTACTGGTTTTTCTGGTTTTGCTGGTACTTCTGATGTCACTGGTTTTACTGGTGTCACTGCTGTCACTGCTGTCACAGGTATCGCTGCTGTCACTGCTGTCACACGTGTCACAGGTATCGTTGCTGTCACAGCTGTCACAGCTGTCACAGGTATCGCTGCTGTCGCTGCTGTCACAGGTATCGTTGCTGTCACAGCTGTCACAGCTGTCACAGGTATCGCTGCTGTCGCTGCTGTCACAGCTGTCACTGCTGTCACAGGTATCGCTGCTGTCACTGCTGTCACACGTGTCACAGGTATCGTTGCTGTCACTGCTGTCACAGCTGTCACAGGTATCGTTGCTGTCGCTGCTGTCACAGGTATCGTTGCTGTCGCTGCTGTCGCTGCTGTCGCTGCTGTCACAGGTATCGCTGCTGTCACTGCTGTCGCTGCTGTCACTGCTGTCACAGCTGTCACAGGTATCGTTGCTGTCGCTGCTGTCGCTGCTGTCGCTGCTGTCACAGGTATCGCTGCTGTCACTGCTGTCATTGCTGTGATTGCTGTCGCTGCTGTCGCCGCTATCGCGACTCCGCCCCGCCCCGTGGGCGTGGCCTCTCCCGTGGCGTGTCCGTGACCCCGCCCCGTGGGCGTGGCCTCTCACGTGGCGTGTCCGTGACCCCGCCCCATGGGCGTGGCCTCTCACGTGACGTGTCCATGACCCCGCCCCGTGGGCGTGGCCTGGCGCGGAGTGGGCGTGGCACCTCCCGGTGGGCGTGGCCTGGCGCGCGGTGGGGTGGGCGTGGCCCCGAGCCGTCACGTGGCGGCGCGGCGCCCCCTGGCGGCGCTCCTTTGTCCGCGCGCGGGCCGGGGGGCGTGGCCCGGCGGGCGGCGCCGCGCGGGATTGGCGGGGCGGGGCGGGGCGGGGCGGGGCGTGGCGCGGCGGCGCGCGCTGATTGGCTGCGGGGCGGGGCGGGGGTCGGTAACGGGCCGGGGCCGGGCGGGGGCCGCTCCGCGGGGCCGCTCCGCTGCCCGGGGCCCCCCGCGCCCCCATGGACCCCGACGTGGACTACGAGCGCCCCAACGTCGAGACCATCAAGTGCGTCGTGGTGGGAGACAACGCCGTGGGCAAGACGCGCCTGATCTGCGCCCGAGCGTGCAACGCCACGCTGAGCCAGTACCGGCTGCTCGCCACACACGTGCCCACCGTGTGGGCCATCGACCAGTACCGCGTGTGCCAGGAGGTGAGGCTGCTCCGGGGACAGCCCCGGGCACGGCCGGACGCCGAGCGGGAGAACGGCGGGACGGGCGTTACCGGGGGACGCCGGGCACCGGGCATCGCCGGGCACTGAGGGGCACCGGAGCGGGGGGTAGGGGGGGGGGGAACAACCGGGGGTACCGAGCACCTGGGAGCAGCCGGTACCGCAAGGGGAGAATGGGGAGGGGGTAGCGGGGGCACACCGGGGTGGTCCTGGTGGTTCCGGGCAGGGCAGTCGGTGATGGTGCGGCTCCCGGTGCCGTCCCCGGTGCCGACAGGTGCTGGAGCGCTCCCGGGATGTGGTGGACGAGGTCAGCGTCTCCCTGCGCCTCTGGGACACCTTTGGGGACCACCATAAAGACCGGCGCTTCGCTTATGGCAGGTGGGACCGCGACCCGCCACCGGAACCCCGCCCCCTACCACCCGCCCCCGCCCCCCCCCCACCCCCCCCCCCCCCCCCCCCCCCCCCCCCCCCCCCCCCCCCCCCCCCCCCCCCCCCCCCCCCCCCCCCCCCCCGGGCCGGGCCCCGGGGGCCCGGGGCCCCCCCGGGGGGGGGGGGGGGGGGGGGGGGGGGGGGCGGCTCCAGGGGGGCTCTTGTGGTACGAGAATCCTCCCGGGGGTCGCTGGGCTGGCCGCAGGAGGGGCCCCCCAGAACTCCCGGGGCTCCCCGGTTGTAAACAGCCGGTTCCCCGTGGCCGCTGGCACGTCCGGGCTCTTATCGCCGCCGCCGCCCCGCGCCAGCCCCGCGGCACCGCTAATCTCCCCGCGGCACGGCGGGGCCCCGCGCGTGGGGAGCCCCCCGCCACCGGCAGGGCCGGGGAGGCCGTGTCCCCACGGCTCGCGGGGGCCCCGGGGCTGGCCGGGGGCCCCGGGGGGGCCGGTGGCGGCTATCTTGGGCTGGGACACGGGCCCGGTTCCAGCGGCGCCTCCCGGTCACGTCCCGTCCCGGCACGGACTAAAAACAACCCGGGCCCGGGGCCACGCGGCTGCTCCGGGGACTTGGGGGTGCTGGCACTCACTGCGTGTCCCTGGCACCCCCCGCGTGTCCCCTGGCACCCCTACGCATGTCCCTGCCACCCCACGCGTGTCCCCTGGTACCACCCCGCGTGTCCCTGCCACCCCCCTCGCGTGTCCCTGGCACTCCCCGCGTGTCCCCTGGCACCTCATACCCCCTGAGCCAGGGCTGGGGTGGCAGCGGCCGCCCCACGGTGGGCACGGGGGGTCTGTCCCCGGCGCTGGGGGCTGGCACCCACCCAAACACCCCGCGTGGGTGCTCAGGGGCTGGGACCACCACGGTGCCGACCCGAGTGGGGCAGCCCGCGACTTGGCCGGCGGTGCTGACCCGAAGCCGGGTCCCGCCGGGTCCCTCCTGTCCCTGTGTCGCAGAGGCCACGGAGTTCCCGGTGGCTGCCGGGGATCTGTGGGGTTCCCGTGGCTGCGGGGATCTCAGGGGGTCCTGAGGCTCCTGGGGGTCCCAGCGACCCGGGGTTGGGCTGGAACCGGGTGTCACCCGAGAGGGCAGGGCGTGTTTGGGGCCAGCGGGTGGCACCGGGACGGCACCGGGACGGCACCGGGACGGCGCCGCCCTCCCGCCGCCGCTGCTCCCCGCAGGTCGGACGTGGTGGTGCTCTGCTTCTCGCTGGCGAACCCCAACTCGCTGCGGCACGTGAAGAGCATGTGGTACCCCGAGATCAAGCACTTCTGCCCCCGCACCCCCATCGTGCTGGTGGGCTGCCAGCTGGACCTGCGCTATGCCGACCTGGACGCCGTCAACCGCGCGCGCCGGCCGCTGGCCAAGTGAGCCCCCAAAGTGTCACCACCCCCTCCACCCGCAGCCCCACCGGGACAGGGACACCTCAAAGTGTCATCACCCCAAGCCCATTGAAAGGGGGACACTTCCCCGTGCTGCTAGGGGGATCCCCGGATTTGTCACCACCGTGTCAGGATGTGTCATCTCCCCACAGGATGGGGTCCCTCTGTGGGTCAGGGTCTTCTGACAGCACTTGCGGGGTGGAACCTCTGCCCTGCTCTGCGCTCCTGGGTTGGGGTCTCCCATCCAAGCCCCCCTGGCACCCCCACAATGGGGGGCCACCCCGCCAGCACCCCCTGGGATGGCGACGAGACCTCCCAGCACGCTCGGAATGAGGAGGGGCTGCCCTGGCCACCCTGCTGAGCCCCGCGCCCTCTCCATGCCCCCCCAGGCCCATCAAACCCTCGGACATCCTTCCACCGGAGCGGGGGCACGAGGTGGCCCAGGAGCTGGGGGTGCCCTACTACGAGACCAGCGTGGTGGCCCAGTTCGGGGTCAAGGACGTGTTCGACAACGCCATCCGCGCCGCGCTCGTGTCCCGCCGCCACCTGCAGTTCTGGAAGTCCCACCTGCGCAAGATGCAGCGGCCGCTGCTGCAGGCGCCCTTCCTGCCCCCCAAACCCCCCCCGCCCCTCATCCAGGTGCCCGAAGCGCCCCCCGGGCTTGGGGGGGGCCCGGCCGCGCTGTTCCAAGCCCCGCTCTGCGCCGACGTCGTCTTCCAGCTGCAGGGCGGCCACCGCGTCTTCGCCCACCGCGTCTACCTGGCCACCGCCTGCTCGCGCTTCTACGACCTCTTCACGCTGGAGGAGCCCCCCGAGACCCCCGGCCAAGGGGACGGGGCCACCCGGGACCTGTCGTCGTGGGGCCGTGGCTTCCTGAGCCTGCGCTGGGAGGCGGTGGCCGACCCGGTGGCGGGGCGGGAGCGGCGGATGGCGGTGGTGGCCATGGACCGGGGCGTGCGGTCGGAGCCGCTGCGCGCCGTGCTGGAATATTTGTACACGGGCAAGCTGGAGCGGCGGCACGGCGACCTGCGGCAGGTGGGCGCCGTGGCCGAGCTGCTGGAGGTGTTCGACCTGCGCATGATGGTGGCCAACGAGCTCAACCAGGAGAGCTTCATGAACCAGGAGATCACCAAGGCCTTCCACGTGCGCCGCGCCAACCGCGTCAAGGAGTGCCTGGCCAAGGGCGTCTTTGCAGGTATGGGGGGGCTGTGGGGACAGGAGGGTCACCGCTGTGACCTCCAGGTGGTGGCCCCTTCGGGTGGTGGCAGTGTGGTGGCAGGGTAATGGTCAATCTGAACCTCTCCCACCGCTGAGGTCTTTGCAGGCTGGGGTCCTGTCCTGGTCGGTCATGGAGGTGCTGCTGGGGTGGTGGCCAAGGCAGTGGTGTCCCCATGGAAAGGGTGTCCAAGGGGTGGCTGTCCCCATGGAAGGGATGTCCAAGGGATTGTCCCCAAGGCAGTGATGTCCCCATGGAAAGGGTGTCCAAGGGGTGGCTGTCCCCAAGGCAGTGGTGTCTCCAAGGGGTGGCTGTCCCCAAGGCAGTGATGTCCCCATGGAAGGGATGTCCAAGGGATTCTTGTCCCCATGGAAAGGGTGTCCAAGGGATTGTCCCAAGGCAGTGGTGTCCCCATGGAAAGGGTGTCCAAGGGGTTCTTGTCCCCAAGGCAGTGGTGTCCCCATGGAAGGGATGTCCAAGGGATTGTCCCCAAGGCAGTGATGTCCCCATGGAAAAGGTGTCCAAGGGATTCTTGTCCCCAAGGCAGTGATGTCCCCATGGAAAAGGTGTCCAAGGGATTCTTGTCCCCATGGAAAGGGTGTCCAAGGGATTGTCCCCAAGGCAGTGGTGTCCCCATGGAAGGGATGTCCAAGGGGTGGCTGTCCCCAAGGCAGTG